CATACCACGCCATCGAATTCATTGCCTTCTCATTCGACACAACTTCATCTTGCCCCCAAACAATTGTACGGCTGGCATTGGCAGACAGTCGAAGGCTGTAGTTGCCTCCAAACAGATTTCCCTGGAGCTCCGGAAGATTATGAGAGTCCACAATATCGTCAACATGAAATTCAAATAAGGTTTGGCCTTGACGGAGGACAGGAACGCCATCATTGTTGGGGTAGATTCGATTGGTCTCTTTCAGTTCTTGTACTCTGAATGGGAGCAGCTGAACCCAAACAGCGGAGTGTAACTCTAACTTCATCAATTCGATACAGTACTCTATCCTTGAAGAGACAACGTCAGGTCTCTCATGAATGTCTGTATAAAAGCCCTTCTTGTATAGGCTCCTTTTAAATCCAAGGAATGTCAACCAACGGTGAGTGGTGTTGCAGCAAATATTCTTTAAACCATTCGACTGTAAGAATTCCTTGACGGAAACATGTTCCTTGGCGGCAAGCTTTGGAATGAGGTCAGAGCGGAGAAAGGCTTGCATAAAGTCAACAGACAGTTGTTGAATGTGTTGATTGCCGTGGTCTCTCATTTCGGTTGCGGCTTCTGGGTGGTTCACAAAAAGGGATATCCCGATGCGCTCACTCATCAGTGGGTTGTTGAATCGACGATGCTCCCGAAACTGCCGCAGCCACTCTTGGATTGTCTTGTAACTACTGATGGATTTGTCTCCGGTATTGGTTTGTACATCAACCATTGCTTGCTGGCACTTGCCCTTCCAACAGAGTGGCTCATTCTCGGCGTCAGCTTCGAGCATAAGAGTTATTGCTCGAAGCAAATAATACGATTTGATCTGGATAGCATGAACAAGCTTGTCCACTCGGTTGGGATCAAACTTCAATTCCAGCGGCTCCCCATCGTAGTTATCAATAAAATATGTTGGAGGATCATCCGTGGCAAGCCCAACGATAAGATCTTTCGCGGCACCTGCAGTCTGGACTCCTTCTATCAAGATTGCTTGAAGGTTCCGTGCTGCCTCCTCTGCTGTTTCGTCTTCCCCAGCTCCAAACAACTTCTCAGCTTCAGTAGAGTACCAAAAGTTGCACAGCTTGTAGAGCCCCAAAGGTAGATACGGGCGTATTGATACCCTGTGCGTTCCAAGTAGGTTCAACCAACCAGGAGCATTTGACACCGCCAGTGGAGGTATCCAAGGAACTGTTGCAGAAAAATCAGCGTACACGGCAGTCGTTTCTTTGATTGTGTAGATATAGATTCCCTTTGACCGATCTTTCATTGAACCTGTGTCAACGCAATTGTGTTGCAGGAGGCCAGCAAGCGCTGCTTCAACAGTAAATTGTAGCCCGTAGCTTCCTTCAATGAGAGGTGTTTTGGGATGGAAGTTGGCTAGACGATGGCAGACATGCACTGCTGTGGAGAGCAGCCACCAACGACTCTGAATCTCAGAATTCTTCCGGAAGAGGGCTACGACAGACTTGGCCATAATTTCGGCATCGATTGGCAAAGAATCAAACAGGACACGTGGTGATGTAGCTCTTTGGTTGCTTCCAGTGTTGACAATTGCAGGTCTTTTCACAGCTGGAGTCAAAGGAGTTCCATTTACTGGAGTCCTCTGGCTAGATCTCCTCTTTTGGTGGACAGCAGCAGCGACTCGTCCTGTTCCTTCTCTTTGTAGAGAACACTGCGTGGGTGACTCGTAGTGTCTCCTACCAAGGACGACGCGTGGTTGAGCGATGCCATTACTGGTAGAAACTCTTTTTGATCGTCTTGTTGCATCTCTTTGTAGAGAACTGTGTGTTGGTGACGCATAGTTCCTCCCACTAAGCATAACACGCCTTGGAGAGATGCCGTTGTTTTCCTGGTTGGAAGTAGAAGATCGTTTTGATCGCCTCGTTTGGACCACCATGGCAGCTGAATATACACCACAGCGACCACAGCCTCATGCACCACAGCATCAGTCTATGCATGGGCGGCATGGTCAAGAACATCCTCTTGCCTGCCATCATTGGCATGGCTCACCTCCAAAATTTTGCCACATGATGTGCATTCGTCCAGTTTGGAAAATCGCCTCATCTCTCATCTTTCATGGCTAGACCAAGATTAAGCACAAACCAAGGATTAAGCTATCGACTGGGTTCATGGCAAAGAGCTCTGCATTGATGACAACAATATCATAGCAGTAAGGTTGAAAGCGGAGCTAAGCCTATCGGCATCATTGACAACAACATCTCCTCTCCTCTCCGTATGATGTGTTGCGATCGACTGATCGAACACGGAGACGAGGATCGAGGCGTAAACGCATTAGAGTTGGGGATATTACATCGTTAAATGAATTTGAGTGGTGTCATTAAATAAACTATTGTTCTTCCTGCGTCAGCATGCGAGCCAGCCATGCCAGTACTGATTCCTGTTAACCCTACGGTGGCATCCTTCCGATCGCAGGAGCCATAGGTCTAGTAAGTCGAAGTGTACCCCCAAGAAAATAACACGCGCTGTGAGTAGTCGCGGTACAGTAGAATACTGTTGTCGTTCCCAAGTCGCGTTGCATGCGTGACTAGACTACTAATAGCGCGACTTCAAAAGTCAAGTCAAGTTCAACGTTAAAGCTGCGCCTTCCTGATTTTATTAATTAATGCTCATCAGATTGAAGTTCCCTCACAATCGACGAGAGAGAAGGCAGCGAACTGCAACTCTTTTTTCCTACTTATGGTAACGTTTAACGTGTCAGTAACAAACGAGAAGCGGATTTAGGGGACCACACGCAGAAGCAGTGTGGTTGTGTGGTTACAGTACATGTACCGGTACCATACCGGTACGGAAGCCGGCGACTTGAACACATGAACCCGCTTTGGAAGAGCCAAAGAAAACAATTTTGTCCTCTTCCCTTCCAACAAAGCAACTGCACAACAACCAAGACACTGTACCATCAATCCAAAATGACGAAAACAGATGAAGAACTGGGCTGGCCTGAAGGTAAGACGGCAAACGAGCTGGATGCTGATGATGACATTGCTGAAGCCGAAGCAAACCACGGCCTTGCTGGAACGTCAGTGGGTGCAATCCCAAGCACTGACAGTGCAAATGTTCTAGGAGACCGCAAGACCAAGCGAGTGCCCACAGACCATCATATGGAAACTATGGTTGTTGGTCAACAACAAGTTGGTGCCATTCCCAGTACCAGTGGGCCCAATGCCTTGGGAGGACGCAAGATGAAACGATGCCCTACAGACTCTCGTCCCACGACGACCCCCCAAGGTTCTGTGCAAGCTGAGCAGCAGGATGGTGAAGACGAACAGAGAGTTGGTGCTGTCCCCATCCTGGGAATTGGGGCAGACGAGCCCGCCCCTGTGGAGCCACCCGCACCCGAGCCCAACCTTGTGAATACCGAGGCACCTAGTGCTGCCGAGGAAGAAGCCAATGATCCTGTCCCCAGCACCAATGGGCCTAGGCCGGGAATAGGGGGGGAGTCCACCCCAGTGGAGCCACCCGCACCTGAGCCAAATTGGTTGATGAATACTGAGGCACCTCCTGTTGCCGAAGAAGAATCCAACGAGCCCGTGGCCATACCTGTGGAGGATCATGGAGACTTGGAAGCAGCAACACCCGTGGATTTAGAACAGAAAGCACATCGAGGTTCTTCGAGGCGTGACCGAGATATGCAGCTCTGTATTGGTGGACTGGGCGTCCTGGTGTTGCTTCTGCTTTCGCTGTGTCTATGGCTGTGGTCACAAAATTCGAAACAAGATGGAATCGACCAGCCAACAACAGCTCCTAATACTACGGAAGCGCCAATGGCAAACATCAGTGCCAGCAATGTCAATGACCCTGTCAGTCTTTCCCCAGGAGGGGACCTGCTAGGCCTGTTGCCAGAGTACACTCAAGCCAGAATTCAGAGAGGAAGCACAAATCCACAAACCAAAGCTTATGACTGGCTCCTGGCAGACCCACAGTTTCTCAACTATTCGGACTCTCGTTTGCTGCAACGATATGCCATGGCTGTCCTGGGCTACTCAGCAGAATTGGAAGGTATTCGGCATGATTGGCTCGATCATGACTACCATGAATGCGACTGGGAGCAAGATGCAGCACCTAGGAATTTCATCTTGAAGAGCAATTGCAATCTGGAGGAGGAAATTCAGCGTTTGTGGTTCTACGATGACCAACAAGGTTCGCTGCCACCAGAGCTGGGCCTTTTAACCACTGTGATCAACGTCGGCATGCAAAACGGCAAACTCACGGGGGTCCTACCGAGCCAAATTGGGCAACTCCGAGACCTCGAGATTCTTTCGATCCATACGAATGGCATTTCTGGCAGCCTGCCCACCGAGCTTGGTTTGTGCCAGCAGCTTCTCGACCTTCGTATCCACCAAAATCTTCTGGGTGGGCCTCTTCCCTCGGAGATGGGGATGATGTCTCGTCTTCGATATTTTTGGGGCCTGGACAACATGTTCACCGGCCCACTGCCTTCCGAACTTGGCCAAATGCAAGAACTGATGGGGATGGAGCTCTTTGCCAACAACTTCAATGGCACAATACCCACTGAATTAGGAAAGGTACAGTACATGCACAAGTTATGGATGGTTTGTGTTCTGTGTCAACCTTTCTTTTACTAACCATATTGTTTCCAGCTGGTAAACTTGGGCGAGTTCACAGCAGATGAGAATCAGTTCTCAGGTCCCATCCCCAGTGAGTTTGGAGAGTTGTCACACTTGGCATTGTTTTTCATTCAAGGTAACCGGCTGTCGGGCGCTATCCCCTCCGAACTTGGTAGGATGAGTTCAGTCTACAGGTTTTACTGCTACGCCAATGAGCTCTCAGGTAGCCTGCCGACGGAACTTGGTACGAAAGAGTCTGTGATGGTTTGTGTATGGTTGCTTGACCGTTCTTCCTCTCTGTTTACCATCAAATCGTTTGCACCAACAGGACTCATGTCAAGAATGGAGATTGCGCTTCTCCATGACAACCAACTTACTGGTTCGATCCCTTCGGAGCTGGGCGGATGGACGAGACTGTGGGCAACGTATCTCAATTTCAACATACAAACAGGTGTCATTCCTCATGAATGGGGAGATGCGTTGACACTCAAATATGACAACGGCACAGACCGCAATGTATTCGGTGGAGCTCTGCCATCCGAGCTGGGACTACTGTCCAGCCTCCACTATTTCTGGCTGCCAAATGGTAATCTGGAAGGTACTATTCCATCGCAATTTGGTATGATGTCGGCACTGTCCGCAATGAGTTTGGCCAACAACAGTCAGTTGGGTGGAAGTGTCCCAGCGGAGCTGTTGGCTTTGCGAAATGTATCCCTGGTTCACTTGAATGTTTCTGGCACCAACGTTATCCGTGCCTAATGGTACACACCCAAAATTTTTAGTCTCGCCATATACATGTACAGTCTAGCTTTGCATACACTTTCATGGATTCGCCAGGGAAAACTCTGGTGAAAGCCCGGAACGAATCTGACCCTCCCAGACAGCTCGACATCATTCGGTGCAGCAATCAAAGGGCTCGAAGCTCCCACCGTCACGCTGAGGACGTAAAGCTCTTGCGTTCGGCACGGCACGGTACTGGTAAGGGTGTCTAAGAGTAGGCGGTTTGTCTACGGAAGTGAGCTCAGGCAAAGAAGAATCTAGTCCTCAGTTGAGCAGTCGAGTCAACCAGTGCAATGGATTCCTGTTCAGCCGGCGAGACCACGAGAAACATTGAAGGATTGGTTCAGTTTGATGAATAGATATGTCATGCTGGTTTGGATGTGAGGGCCGTTGGATCTTGCCAGCCCCCATGCAAATTCTATTCGAACCACGCTAGTTTCACCCAAGCAGCCCCGCTAATGAACTGCTGGTACTGGTACAGCAGTCATCAGATGGTGTGGGGGTGCACTTATAATACACTGCCCGTACAGGACCGATATCATTGACACATAAGCGGCCGCCATTGCTCCTCGTTCCGGTTGGTCTATTGAAAATTCAGGCATCTTGAATTCAACTATTCTTGAATGCTACTACTAGTAGTAATATTATAATCTAAATGTACCCTTCTTCTCCTTAAAATGCCACAATAAGATGGCACGTTCGAACAAAGATCCATTCATATGCCTACTCCACCAATGGCTGTCACAAACATCCATGGACCTGCACCACGTGAACATATCATATTTGCCTACGCATGTACGTACGATGCAGTACACAAACAACTTCCAGAGCACTCATTCATTCTTTGGTTCTTTCTTTTCTTCTTCAATCTTGGTATCCTCTGGGGTTTCATCTTGCTGCTTATTCGAGTCCTCAGAAGCAGCAACAGGAGACTGTCCATTCACGGCCAAAATCATGATGGGGTGAGCTTTGGCAGGAGCACGAATTGTCAACACTCCATCCATCAAGTAGGTTTCCAACTTGGCCACATCCACAGTGCCAGTGTTCAATCGATACAAAGTCTTGGTCACCTTATTGTTTGGTCCACTGGGCTTGTGGCGTTCTCCAACAACGTGGAGCATGCCACTCTTTTTGTCACAGACAACATGCAAATCATTGACTTTGATGCCAGGTACATCTATTTCCAAGTTCAATGCAACACTGGCATCCAAAGAAGGCGGCTCCAGCTGCAACACGGTGAGTTTGCTGTTTTGATTGGCAAATACGGGGTCTTGGTCCTCTTCCTTCCCCTTTTTGAGTGGTGCCTTGACAGCCAGGATTCCATCCTCCAAGGTTGCAGAGAGGTTGGCCACATCAATGGAATCTTCATCCAAGGCAAAGCGTCGCACATTTGTTTGATACCATCCCGGTCATGACGCTGCGCTTGGATGTGAAGAGCACTCTCGCGGAATTCCACCTTGAGATGGGAATGTTTGACACCGGGAAGGTCAGTGGTCAAGAGAAAGTGGCCATCATCCTTGTGTTGCTGGATCAACTCAAAGTCGCCATGAGCTATTGTCAAACAGGTATCATTGTTGTTGGTCATTGGAGTTGCACTAGCACCGTCCTTCTTCTGGGTCGTTGGATTGTTTTCCTCGTTCTTCTTGTCCTGGACCACCCAATGGTAAGCAAAAGATGGAACCAAGGGCTGGAACAAAGGATGGCTGCTGGGGTTGCGCAAGATGATCATGGTTTCCTGAAAAAGTTTTGTAGGTTGAGTTGTTGATTCGATTCGATTCTTCTTTTGGGTTGAGATTGGTTTTGTGAGACGAACAGAATATCAGGGCCAGAGTATCCGTGGGCTCTGGAATAGTTTGGCAAAGGCGTGGGAGTCGAGTCAATCCTTGGAAGGCAATCGAAAAACGACTGTGGCTGCCCATCGAAGCTTTTCGTTGGGTTTGGCAAAGGCGTGGGAGTCAATCTTCAGAAGCCATAGAAACATCTGTGCCGTCGAATGCGTTCGTCCTTCTTCTGTTTTGGTCGTGACCAATTCATTCATTCGTTCCGTTGCCCTGTGATGGTCTTCGGCAACCAGAAGGCTTCCAAGGTCAGAAGGACCTGCGCTTGCTACAGGACTGGATGCAGTTTCGACATCAGGACAACTCCCCTGGAGTGCCCTCCAAGTCCCACAATTCCCAAAAGGGCCCTTTTTTCGTCTACAGCCACACCTGTACACTGGGCAAAACAAAGGACCCTGCTGTAAGAGTTGTGGTACTCTTCTGGTACGCTAATTGTAGGTCTTGCTCTTGTCAGAGTATCATTCAAGACAGAGTTAGTTATCATGGCACAGTATGCCAAAGCAACAGTTGGATAGGCAAAGAGCCGAAAGATGACCAAAGTAAACAGCAAAAGGAGTTTCAAGGACAACCAACTGATTAATACTGGATGTCAACTCTGTCGTTTTGTTCCTGGCATCCATAGGATCAGGCATGGCCTCAGGATAGATGCAACCAATATCATAGGCTACTGCCCCATGGCTTCAACCTTTTAGAGATGGATAGAAGCGGTAGCGGAAGCTTTGTGATTTTTCCCGGGAATTCAAAAACCATGGAGGCAATGGCTAATAAGCTAACCACCGCTACCACTACTCCAAAGCACAAGTGAGGCCGGTCTAAGGTACCGTAGGTGCAGCCCGATCGAGGAGCAATGGAAGCCCTTCAGCCAAGACACACACAACTGCGTTGAAAAAGGAGGGGAGAAAGCCTGAGCTGCAAAAGACATCCGCAAGGAACAAAGGTTTACGAGCAACCATGCAGCAAACGACCAGTCGTGCGACCCTTTTAGAGTTTGACCACCCAACCATGGAAAGGAACATGGCTTCAACCTTTGAGAGACGGATAGTAGAGCTTTATGCCGTGCTCTGTCCAGGAATTCAAAAAAAACTTGGAGGCAATAGCTAAGCTACGGTAACCACCGCTACTCCAATGCACAACCGTAACGTTGGTGCAAACCGATCAGCTAGCTCTAGGAGGAACGATGCAATCGATCCCTTCAGCCAAAGACACTCTCCCAGCTAGCTACTAGTACTGTAGCCAGGTCGTTCAGATGATCAGAAGCTCAGCGAATGACGTTCAAGCCCATAACCTGAGACAACTTCTTCGAAGAACATCGCACGCGAGCCGAAAGTGCGTATCTTCCGTCAGTTCTCAGATGCTGGACAGGCAATTTCGCAGTCTGCTTCAGTCACAAGGCTCCGCATCATCCATCAATCAATCATCAGACAAGATCTTCCGGATCAGAACGCTTTTCAAGCAGAAGCACAAACACCATCTGCAACTGCAGATCCTTTGAAAAAAGTTGATCTTGTTTTTGGACATCGGCATTATTTTTCTTTTGATTTGATTCGATTCGCTCAGTTAGTTATAGGTAGCTAGCTAGCAATTCACCTCAGAAACCATGGCTCACCTTCTGTCTTCCAGTGTCAAGACGCTCCTTCGTAAGGTAAGCCCAAACCTTTGTCCTTTGGAAGAAGCCACAGGAGGGTTCTCATAGCATCATGCCAACAATCGACACTTCCAACGAGATCTTGGGGATGATAAGGTTGACAGGAAATGCGTCTGATCTTCCTCCTTTCTTGCTCTCTTCTATTATTCTTATTATCAGGCTCCCACTGCCTCGTTTGGAAGGACAACTGCCACCAGATCTGTGACTACCCTTCAAGATACCCTTGCCGCGCAAGTCCCCGAAAAGCAAAAGGCGTTGGGCGCCCTTAAGAAGGAGCATGGAGACCATGTGTAAGTTGACAATCTATTTCTCTATCAAGCTATGCAATTGTTCTACCTTCGGTATATGGCTTTCTGTTGTGTTGATTTTTGGGTTGGGAATATTCCATTGCTGTTCAAGCTGCAGATGTGTTTATTGGGAGCTGGTGCCATTAGTTATTTGGAGAGAGAGAAAGATCTGGTTGAGCTGTTTTCTGTTATCATCTGCAACTATGATTTGTTTGGCTTGTGGGCATTTGGTTTGGTTTTCTTTGGAAATGAATTTTTTCTTTTTTGTCTTCTCACAATTTTGGGTTTATTTTATTTTTGTTCTTCTCACAATTACTGGTTGGTTTATTTCTGTTTTTGTATTATATTCACAGCATTGGCCAAGTTACCATTGATCAATGCATTGGTGGAGCCCGTGGAGTCAAGTGCATGCTTTGGGAAACATCCAACTTGGATCCTGAAGAGGGAATCCGATTCCGTGGATTGACCATTCCCGAATGCCAGGCTGTTTTGCCCACCTACTCTGGAAAGCAAGGAGATGGTGAACCACTCTTGGAATCCTTGATTTGGTTGCTTTTGACCAGCGAAGTTCCCACCAAGGAACAGGTCGATACCTTGACGGCGGAATTGCACGCTCGTGCCGAATTGCCATCCCACGTCATTCCTCTCCTCAACTCATTGCCCAAGGATATGCACCCCATGACGCAATTCGCCATTGGATTGAATGCCTGTCAAACCGAAAGCAAATTTGCCAAGGCGTACGCCGATGGTGTCCCCAAGACGGATTATCATTTGTACTGTCTGGAAGATATCCTCTCCGTCTTTGCCATGCTGCCCGAGATTGCCGCTACCATCTATCGTAATGTCTACTTTGACGGTGTCGTCAACAAGGACACCTCCTTGGATTACTCGGGTAACTTTTGCCGCATGTTGGGATACGATAATCCATCGTTTGATGAATTGATGCGTTTGTATCTGTGCATCCACACGGATCACGAAGGAGGAAATGCCAGTGCCCACACCACGCACTTGGTCGGATCCACCCTCAGCGATCCCTTCTTGAGTTATTCCGCTGGATTGAACGCCTTGGCGGGACCACTCCACGGGTTGGCCAACCAAGAAGTCCTCAAGTGGATCCAAGATCTAAAGGCCAAATTCGATGCCGAGGGCAAGGCAGTCAATGCCGATACCATTACCGAATTCGCCTGGGATACCCTCAATGCCAAAAAGGTCATTCCAGGATACGGACATGCTGTCTTGCGAAAAACCGATCCCCGCTACACTTGCCAACGTGAATTTGGTCTGAAGCACATGCCCGATGACGAGTTGTTCAACGTGGTCGAAACCATCTACCAGGTCATGCCGGGAATTTTGAAGGAACACGGAAAGGTGGCCAACCCCTACCCCAACGTCGATAGTCACTCTGGTGTCTTGTTGTGGCACTACGGATTCACTCAATTCCAGTACTACACAGTCCTGTTCGGTGTCAGCCGCGCCGTGGGTGGATTGTGCCAATTGTACTGGGACCGTGCTTTGGGATTGCCTTTGGAACGTCCCAAGTCCGTCACACCCGAATGGCTTGCGGCGCAAGTGGCAAAGTAAAACGGCTGTCACCAACAATATTGACTACGTGTAAGAGTGCTGGGTTTTTGAGAACGAACCGAATTGACGGCAGTTTTCGGCATGTCGAGAGAGGAGTACAAGTTTTAACATAAAGTGCAGCGCCGAAACCGACAACGCTGAAACATAAAGATTTGTGTGGTTGAGAAGTATTCTTCGCGTATTGACTGTCGCAGTACCGTAGCTCTCCAATTGCTTGTCAGCATCTGTGTTGGCAAAGCACCTCTATTTGTGGTTCGCTTCAGGTGGCTTGCTGCAAAAGGATCGGAGAGCAAAAATAGTTCGATGGTTACTCAGAAACTATGCTGGAAGAAGGGTGGTGGTAGCATTGGTAGACAGAGAGGTCGTCCTCCTTTCACATGGCTGGTTGCCACAGCAGGCAGAAGCAAACGGCACTCTTGAAAATGCGTATTGGCTGGCCATCTGTTAGTGCCTGCCTTTTGGAATCAAAGAAGACGGGTCGAGTCGGGAAGGCAGGCCATCTCGAGAACGCGCCTTGTGTTGAGCAATCGCCCAGCTTGTGTTCCTTGGATTACAGCTGTGCATGTACTGGTAGTTCCAAAGGGGGCTAAGATCATAGCAAAGGGCTATATCAATCACAGTGGCCTCAGCTGTGACAAGGTCGACGGTGCTTGCATGTTGGAACTGTGTGATGCAAGTAAAACTTGAGCTCAGAGATCAGCTGTGGCTTCGCGCTTTTGGATCCAGTTAACTCCTGTGGCTGACATCACAGCCAACCATGAGACAAAAGCAGAAGTCATCAGACAATAGAAGATTGTTTGAAGGGGATCTAGCTAGCTAGCTAAATGAGTAGGGAATTAATCCAAGGAAGATAGAAGATTGCTTTGCTTTGAAGTCCGAAGACAAAGAAGTGCCCACCCGATTGAATCTACTTGTCAGCACAGTTTTATTCACTTTGGCATGGCCACGCTAGTTAACCATCCGAGTTGCATCTCTCTTTGTGAGAGAGTTCCTGAACATTTGTGCACCCGTAGCAGTCCTTCGCTTCCTTTCCATTTTGCATTCATGTTCAACAGCAGTGGGCGCTTCATATTTCTTTGTGCTGTGGCTGCTTGGCAGTTTCTTGGGCAACCACTTCACAGCAGCCTTGATAGCATCCACTACCATGACAACATTGAAGAGTGAAAAGATGAAGGCAACAAAGGCACCTCCATATGCAAACAAGAAATCTCCCTCGCTTTTGAAGTACACAAACATGGAAACACAAGTTGGGAACCAAAGATACACCCTGGTGTACAAAATGATCAATAGCTGGGCAACCACAATCACTTTGTACTGGATCATATCCCATGTTTTGGATACATCCAAGGTGAACTTGTAGTTTCCAGAGGCATAGCAAAAACCTCCAGCAAACAAGAGAGAGACAATAGTTTCATGATACTGTGCAAGATGAATGTATCTGAGGTTCATGGGAATGGTAAGGGCGAGAGCCAATGAGTGATGCATCACAGCAACAATGAGCCAGAAGCCAACTGGGAGTGGTGATGGATCATTCTTGGAAAAGGTTCTTTTGGTGCTTTTGATAGTATCATAGATATCAAGACCCACATCAGATATTGATCCAAGTAGGAACAGGCATTTCCATGTTTCAGAGACATTTCCCCAACCATAATATACCACTGGCAGCATTGGGATGGCAGACAAGATGTGGTTCACGCAGATTGTGGTCAAGAAAGCAAAGAACTCCTTTACTTGCAACTCTGTAACATTTTTTGGGAATCCAAAGTTTACCATCATCTGTGAGGCTGGAAGAGCAGCTCTGGACCACCACTTTGTTTTTGGCAGCTTCTGTATGATCCAACTTTGTGTCACTTCCATGACGATGGTCCAAAACAGGGCCATGAAAATGGCAAGGGGGACCATGGTCTCCAGAGTAGCCAGGTTGTTAATAGACATTTGGTATTTCATGTTTCTTGGATGTGGGTTTTGCAAGATAAGGGTTTTATGAAGTAGATCTTTGCTTTTTGTGCTTCCTTAGACGCGAAGGTGGAGAAAACAGCCATGCAAGCTTAACGCTACATGTACCGAGGACAAACTGTTGTTGTTGTGACTGAGCATTTTCAATCACTCTACCGGTACTTGCTGCTAGCTAGTAGGCACTCCCGCGGCCGCTCAGAACAGCTCTCATCAGGACTGTCACTCGGTGTCTCTGCTGTGCAAGGTACACGTACGGGAGCAACGCCTTGCGCCACTCGTACCTCTTAGGAGGGAGTATGCATACCGGTTCTCTACTATGTTGCCAATTGAATGCCCACGGAGAACAAAGTAACATGATGACCGCCTATGAGTATTACTGTATTGACTCCACTCGACTCGACTGAGTGACTCGACTCATCGTTACGGTTTATGTGTGCGTGGGAGGCAGTTTGTTATCCTACGTGTTGTGTTGGCAGCCAATGCCACATCCACCCGGAGCTGCATCCTGAGCCCTCGCACCTCGCACCAGTACGGTAAGCGAGGAAACATTTACCAATGAAAACTCTCCAGACTTGCTGGTACTTGGAAGACTGATGGCGAATAGTCCCAACTCACCCGTCAGTGCCCCTTCCTCTCATCTTCCTCTCAGGAAGAAATAAGGGGGGATAATAGCTGGCTCCATGTAGTGCAGTAATAGAGTATAGGGAGTTATCTACGGAAGCAGAAGTCATGAGACAGATAGAAAGATGTGTAAAGGGGGTTTAGATAGGAGAGATAGAAGATTGCTTTGAGGTCCAAAGACAAAGCAGTGGCCGTGTGATTGAATCCAATCAATCTACTCTTTTTTGGAGTCTGCACAGTTTTAGATTCACTTTGGCTTGGTCTTGCTAGTAATTGGCGATTGTACTGGTATCTCTCTTTGTGAGAGAGTTCCTGAACATTTGCCCACCAGTAACAGTCCTTCTCTTCCTATCCATTTTGGATTCCTGTTCAACAGTAATGGGCGCTTCATCTTTCTTTGTGTTGTGGCTGCTTGGTGCTTTCTTGGGCAACCACTGCACAGCAGCCTTGATACTATCCACGGCCATTAAAACATTGAGGAGTGAAAAGATGCAGGCCACAAAGGCAAATCCATAAGCAAACAACAAATCTCCCTCGCTCTTGAAAGTGTGCAAACAAGGCAACACAAGCTGTGAACCAAAGATACACCCTGCTGTACAAAATGATCAATAGCTGGGCCATCACAATCACTTTGTACTGGATCATATCCCATGTTTTGGATACATCCAAGGTGAACTTGTAGTTTCCAGAGCCATTGCAAAAAGCTCCTGACAACAAAAGAAACGTTATAGTTGCATGATAATGTGGAAGATGAATATATTTGAGGTTCATTGGAATGGTAAAGGCGAGTGCCAATGAGTGATGTATCATTTGAACATTGAGCCAGACAGCCGGTGGTGACGGATGATTCTTGGAAAAGGTTTGTATGGTGCTTTTGATAATGTCATAGATATCAAGCCCCACATCAGAGAGAGATCCAAGCAGGAACATGCAGTGCCATGTTTCAGAGACTTTTTCCCAACCATAATATACCGCCGGCATCATTGCGGCGACAGCCACGCAGTGGTTCATACAGACTGCGGTTAAGAAAGCAAAGAATTATCTTACTTGCAACTCTGCAACATTTTTGGGGAATCCAAAGTTCACCATCATCTGTGAGGCTGGAACAACAGCTCTGGACCACCACTTTGTGTTTGGAAGTTTCTGTATGATCCAACGTTGTGCCACTTCCATGACAATGGTCCAAAACAGGGCCATGAAAATGGCAAGGGGGACCATGGTCTCCAGGGTAGCCAGATTGTCAAGAGTCATTTTTGGATAGTTCATGTTTCTTGCGTTCTTGTATTTCTTACAAGATGCGGGGTGAAGTAGACTCGACTCGACTCGACTCGTTCCGTTTTGTGAGCTCCTTTCGAACACGAAAAAAGGTTGAGAGAAACGGCCGAGCATGCATACAGTATCCCCCGTGTATCGAAACTCGCTCCGTGCGGTACGAGTAGTCTGTGCATACCTCTGCCCACAAGGTATGGTAAAGAGGTAGATGTGGTAAAAGAAGTGTTTGATGCAAATGTTTACCTGTTAGAGTAAACTTGAACTTCCACCCTATTTTTACCGCAACTACTCATGTAAGTGTGACTGCCAGTGCACGTACCATACCAGCACATCGAGCCGCGAAGTACTACTAGTAGTACATGTAGACCCATCTGTTGCTCAATTACCCGAAGCAGGAGTGACGAGCCGAGCCACTCGACGTCACTCGTGGCGATTATCTATATTGTGTTGGAAGGCAGCAAATTAGAGTCGAGTCGAGCTGGATCTTGCAGATCAGTATAGCATCATGCATTCCTGTTCATTCATCTCCTCGAAATCCGCTGCATTGGCATACGATTCCATGATTCGATTCGATTGATCATTCGATTCTATTCATTCCGCCTGGACACCGACTTGGCTGCCTTGGCTCCAATGCTGGGCTGCAGCAATGATCACAACAACACTCACAAAAAAGTAGCTTCTACACACACAAAAACTAACGAAACTAAGCAAACAAAACAAAACAAAACAAAACAAAACAAAACAAAACAAAGAAAAACCAAAGTAACCATGGCACTCCGCAACTTCCTCACCAAGGCACTCCCCCCCCACTTGGAGAGGGATATTTCCCGGGTCCTAAAACACCAAGTCGATTCGGTGGTTCCGATGCTGGACGGTCTGATGGCCCCTCGTGTGTATGGTTTTTCCCGCCAAGGTACTACCACTGGCGCCTTTTCTTCTTCTTCTGGTGTGTCTTCCGCACCTTTTTTGTTGCAAAAGGTCGAGTACGGTATCCAACAACAGCGAGGTCTGTTCGATGGAATGGCGCCGCAGTCCGTACCGTGGTACTAATGACGAACCGTCCAGGCTGCAGTATACCCCAATAATAGGTAATCAAGCAAGTAATGCTGTGTATTCCCAACTCTACTAGCTAAATTAGAAGGTGTTTCAGAGAGCCTTTTCAGACAGACACATGGGTCATCAATTGGCATTCCAGCATTCACCCTGTCTTCTTTCGCATCTTGGCGGCTTCGGGCAGAAGCATCAAACGAAGGGTTGTTCTTCAATCTATCCCATCCCGTTAGAAGACGAAGAGGCCAGGAGCTGTGCTATCTAGCTCTACTACTAGAAGCAGCAGTCAATCGATCCTCTTGTCGCTTGAGATTGATTCGATTCAGTAGAGTACCAACATCTAGCTAGCTAGCTTCAGAGCACTCTCTCCTAATCTCAGAAAAGAGAGAGAAAGAACACGAAATCATGCCCCCCACAACCCGCCGCAGCAGTGAACAACTGGCGAGTGTCTTGTACAGTCGCGTAACGAAACAAGAAGACCTGAATCGTTCCATCTACCAAAAGTTTAACTTGAAATGGGGCGACGATCCGTTGGAGAATCAAGGCAAACAAGGGCGATTGTATTCCCCCAAGTACGCCAATCAACCGGGCGGTATCCAATTGGAAGATGCCATTTTTGGAGTTCAAATGGCCCATTTGGCGTGTACGGACGACAGTGAGGAGCGATTGCAACAGAGCAGTCCGCATACCATTGAAGCACTCGAGGCAATCGTAGGAGAACGAGGTGATGCTGCTCGACAACCACTGTCTACCATCTTGAAAGATCATTTTGATTTGGAAATGGATTGTTGGATCAACGAATCGGGCTTCAAAAAGGGCCATGCCATTGACACACAGGCATTCATTGCCCACAATGACGATACCATTGTCTTGGCGTATCGCTTTAGTGTCAGCATGTTGGATTGGATTACCAATTTGACGGTTTCATCGAGTGAATGGAAACCACACGTCGACGAGAAACGCGTCATTCCCTGTTGTGCCAATCCCTGTCAAGGACTCTTTACCAAGTACTGTTGTTCCATAGGCAAGCAACGCAAACCACGCGTTCATACGGGCTATTACAACAATTTTGTTTCCAGTATTCCCCACATTCGCAAGTACATTCTCGAACGATTGCAAGAACCCAATCGAAAACCCACAAAGATCTATTTGTGTGGAGAAAGTTTGGGCGCCGCCATTGCTACTTTGGCATTTTGTTTTATTCTGTTAGAGCTGCCCTTTGAAAATATCGACGAATGTCCCCACAAGGTTTATTCGGTCACGGCTGGATCGCCACGGGTCGTTGATCCCCTCATGCGACAAATCATCATGGATCGGATGCAACTATTGCGGCCACTCGACAATGCCTGTATCATACGACTCGTCTACAATCACGATCTCGTGCCGCATTTGCCCTTTGAATTCTTGGGATATGATCATTTGGAAAAACTTGTCTTTATTACTTCGGATGGCGATGTCATTATCAATCCACGGTTGCGACATACGCATGGATTTGGAGAAGTCAAGAAAATATTTCGACAATCCTATTGGATGTACGATCACAATGCGACTATGCAAACCATTGTCGATAGTCGATATGATAGTACGACTCAACCTGGTGAACTCAATAACAACAACAATACTATTACTGACAGCCAACAACAAGACCAACAAGAGGACCAAGAACAACCGTTCTCCCAACGCACCAAGACGGCCTTTGAACTCGAATGCGAAGCCACACCGGGACCCATCAAAGATCACATGCCCATTTGGTACTTGACATTTACACAAAACTTGAAGGAGAGATACGAATCGGTCGAAACTACCGTTACCGAATTTCGACGTAACTCGACCTGGTTCAAGAGTCCTCACGATGACGATGCACCACTCGTGTCGTCATCCATTGCCGGGTCCTTGTTGGCGTCGTCCGGCCATGACCCCGAGTCGGGACGATCCTATCTGCCGCCTTTGCAGGAAGCCCCGTCGAGTCGGGATGATGATGAGGATGAGTCGGAAGAAGAAGAAGAGGACAATATTGACAACAACAATACTGCCAAAGACAGTCCACCACCACCACAAGAGGAAGCCGCCAAAGTGGAGCAACCGAGCTAGCTAGATCCGTAGCTGGGATTGAATTCCAAAACGATGAGGTGTTGCTTGAATGCGATGCTCCAAAGCAAGCTGGGGTCCTATCTTTGTCTTGCAGTCGAAGAAAGGAACAGTTTCAGTGTGGCGTGTCATCGGCCGGCGCATCTTTTGTGGGGATACGATCCAACAAAGAGACGACAACAACATGGGGCGATTCCGCTGAAGTTGGAGGGCCTTTATGCAGGCTTTGGGCGCTCTGTTGTTGTTCGGCTGCATGGCGATACGGCAGTGTTCTTGTTGTGATGCCACGCGAGCTATCATAGCTATCCATCGGTAACATGATTGTGCATACAGCGAACGAACTTCTGTACAAACTGTCGCTTGCTGATGCACTGTAATTGTTGTAAGTCACCCGAAAGGGGCGCCGTATGGCTGAATGAAAAAGACAGTAGCCCTTCCTAGCTAGGTATTATCGTAGCTGGCAACGGCAGTGTACTTCTTGATCCCATGAGGATCGTTCGACGTTGACAATCATTATGAGCCTATAGTTAGTTGTATGTTGGCTTCTTAGTTCGGTTTGTGAGCAAGCCACGTCGTTCGCAGCGCCAGAGGTCGGAAGAGGTGTTTGGTGAACGAAGAGCACATGAGCATGGATCGAAGATAGCATGCGAGATGCCCCTTCTTGCAAAATTCAATCAAGGCTGAAAACACTGGATGTTCAAACCAAAACATGCATCGCTAGCTAGCAGGGTTTAGCTTTATTGAAGACCAGCATCACCTGAATTCTCCCCCAATTCCAAGCACTTGTCAACCGTCCAACGTGTGTGAACAGACCAGATTGGACCAGCCAAAAGATCCTTTTGATACATGTGCTGGTACTCAAGCCAATGACGCTCCTCCCTCTGCGTAAGAAAATGTTGCCAAGTCCCTTGGTCTTCCCCAATAACTTGCAAGAGCCCCTTTCCGAACCTCGGGTACTGGCAAGGAACGGGGTTTGCTCGTCACTTTGTGTTCGTAGTCAAAGAGCCGTCTCCTTGCAGTTTCTCTCGTGCTGCAGCCAGCTTTGCCTCTAGATCCTTCATAAAGTCAAAGGCCTCGATGCGAGTCTTCTTCAAGCGCCGATCAATTTCAATGGTTGTAAAGTTGGCAAAGCTTCCATGCTCCAAGAGCATGGCGTACGTCATCATCTTTGCCATGTTGCTCTTACCGTACACGCCCTTATTACAACGGCTGGCCAGTTTACGTTCAGCCAGAATAATCAAAACCTCCAGAGCAAAGTCGTCGGAAGGAAAGTGTGCATTGTAGCCAGTGGCTCCACGATACCTCGTTCGGTTCCAGTAGGTCCATTTATGCTCGGGGTGGAGCAGCAGAGCCTCTTCAATGGCCGCCTGGTCATCCGTCAGCAACAACATGTTCTCTCCCTTTTTCACCTGGCCTCGTTTCAGGTACTCCTGAATCGAATAGAAGTTGCGATCATATCCCTCTTCCGTCATGGCGTCCCCGCGTCGTGCGTGAATCCAAGTACAAGGAGTTTCTAGCTTGGGAACGTTGGAATGTTTCCAAAACTCATAGAATCGCCTTCGCAATTCTTGGCGGGGACGCATGAGATAGTGCGAGAGCCAAATCATTTGTTCTTTGAGTGTTTCATTCTTGGCAATCTCATGATAGATGTACTTCTTCTTGGGTGTTTCCTCCTTGGTGTCGGGCGGGGGGCGGGGACAGTTGGAAATGGGTAAAAAGTAGCACTCATGATCTTGGGACGGACACGCTGCCCAGGAATCGGAGTCCAAGGGCGGTGTGTACGGCCACCGAAACTCGTCCTCTGGGATCGTGTGACGAAAAGGACGATTCTCGCGGTAGGCACTCCAGAAACCTTCATTGAGCCTGTAGACCAGAGTTGCCGCAAAACCATGCGCCCATATTTTGCGCACTGCCATTCGTTTGGGATCCTTGCGCCGAAGAGTACAGCCCGTTTTGATGTTGTCTGGGAATTGAATCTCGTGGACTCGCTCCAGGAAACTGACACGCCTGGGATCTTGAATTGGCCGAAGGCAAGTATGAGTGTCATTGGTGTCCTCTTCAGACGGTTCCCAAGCAGGGTGACTTTGCCACCAATTGTCAATGTCAACGTCCCATGGAGAGCATTTCATAGTTTGGTTCGTCTCGTCTGTTGAAAGTGGGCGCGTCACGTCATGAGTGGTTGTTTGTTTGTTGTCTAGTTGCTGGCTCTCCTTGTTGCTTGGTTTCTTTCTGGGCTCTTTCTTGCCCTCAAGTTTGGGTTTCATTGAAGGTTGCACAGCTTGAGTGCTGCTGTCGGTTGCTGATGTGGCAGCATTTGAATGAGCAGATCCTGAAGGAGTGACTTTATTGCCGTTTCGCTGGCCATTCTTCATGCTGATTGGTGTCTTCTTGTTCTTAGTCCAGCCCTCTAGTTTAGCCTGTGTCGCCGGAAGTGATGTTGCAGATTTGGTGCGTTTCGAGGTGCCACTTTTGACTGCGGTTGGAGGTTGGGATGGTCTCCCCCCTCTGACGTGTCTTTTTGGTTGTGGGTTGTCGAGAGCTGGTCGGTGTATATCGTTTGTAGTGCGTGCATCTTCCATGATCTTCTTGTCATGATTGGACTCGTCTTCTTGTGGGCTGTTCCCTTGAATGGTGGTGCTCCCAGAGGCTAAGCTGCTTTCAGGCAACAACTTATTGGGCAGAACCCCCTTTGAAGTGGCCTCGGGCGCGTTGCCTGCAAAACTACCTCCTTTGTCTGATCCATGATAGGTCTCGAAATCCTGATTCATAGCTTCCATGTCATAGCCATCGTTCAGTGAAGATGAGATGGTTTCTGTGGCCCTCACAAGATCTTGTTCCATGGCTAGGATACTGGTTTTGCGATGAGAGCTGGAGAAGTCGCTGTCCACCAGCCCTTCCTTGATGAGTACAACAGTAGCATTTAGCAAGACAGCCACGAGAAGAAAGAACAAGCCGACTGATCCCAGCGATTTCCATTCCTTGCGCTGTTGCCGTCTTGATCTACCATGGTTGGTGGGCGCCGTAAAATCCTCCAGGGATGTTGCTTCCACCAATGAGACTTGCATTTTTGGGTAAACCATAAGCTGGGTCCTGGCAATCCACAAATGAGTTTGTAGCTTCAATAATGCTGTCCCAATGTGGTATCAAGTGGGTACGTGTAGAGCCAAGAATAGTACCATGGTAGCTCCGGAGTGTCCTTTGGTTATCCCACCTCGCTGAGCATCTGGCAAATAGTGCGGGCAGGGCGGGGTGCAATTTGGATACCGTACCGTACGGTACTGTAGATCTTTCGCGATAATTCGATTGAATTCTCGAATGTTCTTGTGAAAAGGTGGTCAGCCCTGCAACCTGCAATGCCGCAATGGACATTCCGGTATCGACACACACATGTACCAGTCCGCACCGTACCCTGGCGGGTCTAGCTAGCTAGTAGTAGCTACTAGCTAGCTACTAGTAGTCTAGCTAGCTAGCTAGCTAGCTAGCAGAGGGAAATATTTACATCATCGAAGCCGGGAGAGGGCCAGGCTTAGTAGGCAAAGAAAAGGCGAAATCTATCTCTTTTGCCCACAACCAACGAACCAGCATTTCCTCCTCAGCAGCGAGGGCTCTATTAATTCTGGACCACACGACATGTGCACTTGCCCTTGAAAGACCTCAACACAACATCAGCAAGATGCCTTCAACAGTCGAGGTAATAATTGTAGACAAAATTCACTAAATGAATATTTTGGGTGTCACATTTCACACAATGAATTTGCGTGAACCCCTGCTGGGGGAAAGCTGTTAGGGATAGGTTGTGGAATATTTTGGCGCGCATTCGTGCTAATCAAGCAACAATGCACATCATTTTTTTTCTTTTGTTAGACTACTACAACATCTTTTCCTGGCGTACTAGCAAGATGTCCATGCTACTAGCTGTCGGATACAAGGGCGGGCTATCTGCTATAAAGTCCCAGTGGTTGAAGTGCAACAATGATAGTGGATATCAGGTGCATGTGTCTCAGAACATCGAAAAGCCTAAGGCCCGTTACTTTAGTGTCTGCTTCACTGCTCCAAAGACAAAATGGAAGACGTCTGATTGTTGCAAGGCCCACGTAAAGGCTGTAGGTGACAATCGAGAAGACATGACAATTACCAGCTACAATCCTGTTCATACTTGCTCTCGGACAGAATCCTCAATCCGGCGAAAGAGGAATTACTTGTCAAAGGATATTGTGCCTCTTTCTGATGCTTTGTCGCTGTACGTACCCACAGGAAAACGCGAGGGGAATACAAAACAGTACCAAACCATCGCTTCAAATGCAACTGGAATCTCTATCAAGACTGGACAGGCGTCACTCGCTGTTCGCTCGATGAGCAGTACAACTTTGGAGGCTCAGATTGGCCAATATTTTTGGATCCAATCGTTACTTCAGGCGTACTACGAGAGTGATCCTAGTGGGACCTTTGCCATGCAGTATGATGACTGTCCGTGGGATGACAGTTTGCAACAGTTTGTCCGCTGCTACATTGCACTTTCCTTTGCTAAAGAATTTTGGCGCCAATCAGAAATGTCAATGAATTCATACCCCCAGATCACAGGCGTGCTGCGGGAAGGCCGAACAAGAAGCGAAAAGAGCGATCTCATCTACGTACTACGAACATGAGGAGAACATGCAAGGCTTGTGGCGAGGAAGGGCACTTTGCCAACACGTGCACCAAGCCATCAACCCAGTACAGATACGAAACCCACAAGGCGATTGCTCTCGAGTGGTGCAAGAGGAATGAGTGTATCACCATCGAGGATTAGTAGTAGAAGAACGATAAACGATACTAGTAGTAGATAACAAGAAGATGTCATCGCATATTTTTTGTTCTTGGATTAGTCTGTGATTGACTGAAATATCAAGTCACAGGTAGTTTCGCGCCTCTGTCAATGACGTGTCACATGACAGAATGATACCCCCAGCAGGGGGTTCACGCAAATTCATTTTGTGAAATGTGACACCCAAAATATTCATTTAGTGAATTTTGTCATAATTGTAAAGGACGAGTATCATAAATATGGCTTTTTTTTTTGGTGCATTCCGCACTTTATTCGCACACATTGTGAAAGGGGAAGCTAATGGATCATGGAAGGTAATAGGGCACATTAGAGCGACAATAATTGATCGTTCTGTCATGATGGGACGCTTTCTCACGGTGATGGCAGAAAAGAGTGCTTCGCTTCGACGTATTGGTAGTGCAATCTTTGAACCAAAGTATGGAAGGACAAAGCTACAATCTTTATCGCGCACGGATAGTTTGGACTGGATCTTGGTAATCGACAAATTTCATGTTGACTACAAGTACAAAAAGGATGGTGCTTCCAATGTTGGGGCTTCTGCCCTTCAAGCGTTCTTGTCTTTACGAGCAGTGGTGCACAATGTGTCCTGTGCTGTCTATGAAATGGATCCCCGAGAGGCGATGACAAGAGAGGAATTGGATAGCCAAAAGGGGAAAGACAGAGACGAGGAGAAAGAGAGCAAGCAACCTTTTCGCTGGAATCTCGCAGAAAGAAGCATTAGGAAGGAAAGAGAAGAGGAGCTTCAATTTTCGCTGTGTCGGAGAGCAGATGCTAATCAGTTTTTGAGAATTGGCTTCTTTCAAGACCAAGCATTGGCCATGAGAGGCAATGGGAACTATCTTGTGGCAAGTGGCAAACATTGGAGCCGTGACAGGCTTTCACATGAGGAAGCGGAGGCTATTTCGTTTTACAAACCACGTGTATTCCCAGCTCCAGTTGGCAAAGATTCAGAGTTGCATCAAATGATCCGGGAAGGTGGAGCAAACATCGAACACAAGGTAAAGTCCCTTATTTCGCAGGGCGCCTCGGTTACTCGTTCTCTTGCTCTCCACACAGCTGTTGCCAACAGCAACAGAAAGGTTGTCCTTCTGTTGTTGCGTTTGGACCGAGAAGGTTGTCTCAATTCATTTGATCCAAATGGAACCACTCCCTTGATGCTTGCGACCAGAGAAGCAGCAAATTTGCCAGAAGATGATGAGACAGAGATCCTGGATATTCTCTTGGCAGCTGGCGCCGATAGGAGTGCACAGAACCTGGAAGGGAAGACAGCTTATGGTCTACTTCTGGACTGGCGTGGGGACTACTGGGCAATGGAACATTTAGGCCGCGGCAAAAAAATGTGTTTTACCGTATTGAAGCAACAAGTGTCAGAAGAAGAGACTGCCCAAAAGTTGCTGCTTCCCAATGGGCCAAGCCCTGCTGATGAAACAGGCGGAGTGATGGAAGGATTCATTCACTTTGATGACTGGTCAAGCGATGGCAGCACCCTCCCTCCCAGTTGTGCAGAATATGACTCAGATCCATACGATTCTGATGACTGGTAGTATTTGAGGGTCGGGTCGGAATGCTTTCAATACCAAATATCACCATTTGAAAGCTTGCTCTGTTGTGAACAATTTGGCCAGCTAGCTGCCTGCAGCTCATCATGTGTACCGGTGCCTGGTACTGGAGAAGGTCAGCAAACAGGTTCTGTCCCTGTAAAATTCTCCGAGGACGTTGCTTCCACCAAGTGCAGTTTTTGGGTAAACCATAAGCTGGGTCCTCGCAATGGACAAATGAATTTGTACCAGCCCCATTTTTTAAAATTCTAATTATCCTACTGCTACAAATGAATGGGTAGCGGTAGCGTGTGCGAGAGGTTGAGTTGACCCTTGGTAAAAGGGAGTTCTGTGGTCCTGTTCCGGTGTACAGTAATAAGGGGGTTTAGAGTAGGGAAATTATCTACGGAAGAGTAGTGGTTTGCGTTCTCACAAGAACTTCTCAGTAGTTTCTGGAATGTTCTAAAAGGTCTCTTGGAATGAAGAAACCCTTAGTTTAGCCTTATTGCTTCGGAGGACCCAAGATCGAATGGATGAATGGATGGATGGTCTCGAAGCGAGTGGCTGCTGGAGGTCGCAAAAGACGACCATGCAGTTGCTGTTGGTTGTGTGCTTGGCCTTAGCGGCAACAAATACTCCCAGCGCTACAACTGCTGGCAAGAGTTGGACTGGTCGCTTGGTGACGAAAACTCCTTCGTTGGTGACATGGTTGATCGATGGGACCAATCTCGCGTGCTCCCGCCACGTGCCAGGGGATCGGGAGGCACTCGTAGAAAGGCTCCAAGAGATTGCGTCTCCTATCGGTACCAGTGCTGCTGACGACGATGGCACCACAATTGTTACAAATGTCGTTCTGGTATTTGATGGTGACGAGGATGAAGTCTTTTCCAAGAGCACTTTTGGCTGGTTCCAGCAGATTGTGACGGATGGCAAGGGCAAAGTGAAAGATCGAGCGGATGATCACATTGTGCAACACGTACTTCCTGAACTGCAACAGCTGAATGGACGGGTTCATTTGGTGTCGGCCGATAAGGAACTGGGAAAGCGCGTTCAAGCCTCTGGTGTCATGAAGGGCGGATCGATGGTCCATCCACCCAAGTTTTGGAAAGAATATCTGCCCAATCTACAGCAACGACGACAAGTACAAGCGCAACAGAGGAAGAAATCAATGTAAACACAATCCGTGGTCACGACCGTGCGTCAGAATCCGACGAGGAAATGGACGATCCATCATGCTGCCAGACCAAATCCGACACTATCCCCGCATAGCATTGTCTTTTACGGTATTGAACCCATGCAAACCAGCATCAGATCTGCAGAGGAAAATTTCGTGCTCCAAATAATGGGAGGAAAATCTCATGCTCCAAAGCAACGGAAACTTCCTTTTCATTTGTATTTACCTGGATCAGGCACAAGCCGTGAATACTACCGGTATCATGCTTCCAAGGCAAATACCCTGACCTGTTCACACGGCAATGCGGAAATGAACCTTTGGGTTCTCGACTGCATGGGTTCGGTACCCTATCGGTACTGTGAGAGCAACCTACTCAACACTTCAAGTGCCAACATAATGACAAGACAGACATGGCCTTGCATGAAGTCCTTGCAATAGTTTCAAGCCTCAAGCTGAGAAGCTATAAAGCCATGCGGCATCAAGAATGACCCGGTGAAATTGATGGCGTTTACTGAAAAGGGGTTCCCCAAAACAAATACTAGTAGTGCAATCTCATGATCGATGATTCATTCGATTCTTCTTTGGTAACGGTAGGGCCAGCACATTGCTGGGGGGCAAAAAATGCTGCTCTCTCTACTAGTATTTTATAAAAAATAGTATCCGAGTGACAGTCCGCACCTCAGGCTAGCTAGGGCCCGCACCTCGGCAGCAAAACTTCCGCACCTCTGTGGATGCATAGTACCGGTAGGGCCCGTACCTCGGTGGCAAAAAGTCTTCACTCTAGGGGGGCACCTCGGGGGCAAAGTTCTGCACCGTACGGTACCAGGTAGAGACCGGAGGGGGTCAGCACCTCGGGTGCACAAATCTGATCCTCTTGGACACCTCGGGGCAAACCTTCTGCACCTCTACTACTGTCAGTAGTACATGTAGGCACCGGATCGGGTCTTCACCTCGGGGAACTTTACTACAACTAGTAGTCTAGCTAACTACAGTACTAGTACTACCCAGCGAGCAACTCGGAGTAGTGAATATTGGGGTCCCCAGGGTTGGAAGCGGTAATGGCAATTCCTTTTCAAGTGAAGTGTGGGTGCGTGGTGTTCACCTCCAATAGGCATAGATAAGTTCAACAACTCTAGTACAGGTAGCACTAGCTAGCTAGCTAGTCGAAACTTGGATGAACATCAGATTCGATTCTCTACGTGGACTCATTGACTGATTGCTTATTGTCTTAAGGGACCTGGCGCAGCTGGTCAAAAAGGCTGCCAAGCAAAAAGCAAAAGCAAAAAGCCGACAGAGAGTTTCGTTTGCGTATGAGCTCCGTACTAGTACCGGTCCACCAGCACACCAGGGAAGAGGGAAAACGTCTCTTTGGGTGGTCGCTCAAATGGCTAATGAGGGCTATTGATGGTCTGGAGAGGTCGAAACAGATAAAAAATTAGAAGGAGGAATTTGCTTGGTTCTTTTATTGACCACCCTTGACCACGGTTGACCACGATTGACCACGCTTGACCATGCATGACCACGCTTGACCACCAATTCCCCTAGTAATTAATTAGTAAAACACCACGGCTGACCACCCTTGACCACACTTGACCACGGCTGACCACACTTGACCATGGTCAACTGTGGTAAAAGTGACCGTTTATCTTCAAAGTCGGATTTTTATGGTAAAAAGGGGTCAAAATGTGTCCAATGCGGTCTTGGTTTGGAGCACCATGGTCACTTTTTCCCTCTTCCCAGCATGTACCCAGTACTACAGTACTACCCACATGTACCGTAGTGCTCCTGCTCGGGTGCTTGGGATTCTCTTCGTGAAAGTGGACACACGTAGCCTGCTCGGGTACTAGTAGTACAGTGTACAAGCTGGTACAGTACTCGTCTGCTTGAGATTCTCTTCGTGAAAGTGGGCATCAAGAAGCCTGACTTGAGTGGCGAGGCAATTGCAAGGTGAACCTATCATCTATCTTGTTGTTTTTAGGTATTGAAATTTTTTTAATAAGCAATTGAACAACTTTGCCTCAAGGAAAGAGGCTCTTGCAATGAGGCAATAAATGTTTGAGCTATTAAATACCGTACCGGCATGTTTGTCATCATTTAATTCCTTGAGAAAACTCATTAATTCTTTGATTAGAATGGGCTCTATCTTTTTGTTTCGGTTTCTGGAAATTTCACGGAAGACCACGCCTGGCCCAGCAACATCATGTTCACTGACCGCTGGCATGCCCCAGCAGCGCACAGCAAAAGTTGCTTATTTCCGTGCACAAGAAGCTGCGTTCTCTTGTATGTCTTGTGCATCCACAATCCACACCCACATCAGCTCCCACATTCTCTCATCATCGAAAGATTGGTCTTTGGTGCGGTGATCCTCTCATTTCCCCTCTGATACTACTAGCTGCTAGTAGCTCTTGAGAAGCTCCTCGTAAACTGATATCATCAAGATGGCAGACGCGGAAGAGGTCGAAGAAACACACAACCAAACTATTCAAGTAGATGCGCCTGGTGCTATGCACCAAGATGGACCAGGAGGTTCTGGAAATCTGGAAAAGCTCGAAGAGGCAACCAGGACAAAAGCGGCAGAATTGTACCAAAAAGACCGATGCATTCGTGATGCCCAAAAGAAGCAGCAGCATTCAGAGATGCAAATGAAAGATCAGATAGTTCTTGGTCAAATGACCAGTCCTGACGCCAATGAAAAAAGTCCGCTACCGTCAAAACCACCAGGCCAAGCAAGCGCGGCTGCATCAGCACCGGGAGCAGTTGCCGTTGGGGGGTCAGGGGAGACGGCGGCGACCAGAGAGGCAGAGTTGTACCAAAAAGACCAAGATATTCATGACAGTTACAAGAAGCAGCAGCAGCTGAAGCTAGCCCCTGAACCACCATCAACAGATAGAGAACAAAAAATGCAAGCGAAAAATCGGTTAATTCTTGATCAGAGTGCTACTAGTACCGGTACGGATACCAATAATGAAGGAAGTGTGCCACCGTCGTCACAGCCACCAGACGAAGAGAATTCGCCTGCAACTGAGCCATCCGATTCGGAAATTCCAGGAGCATTTGCCGTCCCCGGAATAGGGGCGGACGACCCACCCGTCTCTGTGGAGCTACCTGCACCCGAGCCCGAGCCCAACCACTTGGTGAATAACGAGGCACCTCCTGCTGCCGAGCAAGAACCCAACGAGCCCGTGGCCATACCTGTGGAAGAAAACGAAGACTTAGAAGCAGCTACACCCGTGGATTTAGAACAGAAAGCGTCTCGAGGTTCTTCGAGGCGCGACCAAGATATGCAATTCTGTATTGGAGGACTGGGCGCCCTGGTGTTGCTTCTACTTTCGCTTTGTCTATGGCTGTGGTCGGAAAATTCGAAACAAGAGGGAATCGACCAGCCCACAACAACTCCTAATACTACGGCAGCACCGATGGCAAACATCAGTGGCAGCGAGGTGGATCAACCTGAAGAACCTGTTAGTCTTTCACCAGGAGGGGACCTGCTAAACCTGTTGCCAGAGTACACTCAAGCCAGAATTCAGACAGGAAGCACAAACCCACAAACCAAAGCTTACGACTGGCTCCTGGCAGACCCACAATTTCTTAACTATTCAGACTCTCGTTTGCTGCAACGATATGCCATGGCTGCCCTGGGCTACGCAATAGAATTGGAAGGTATGCGTGATGATTGGCTCGATCATGACTACCATGAATGCGACTGGGAGCAAGATGCAGCACCTAGGAATTTCATCTTGAAGAGCAATTGCAATCTGGAGGAGGAAATTCAGCGTTTATGGTTCTACGATGACCAACAAGGTTCGCTGCCGCCAGAGCTGGGCCTTTTAACCACTGTGATCAATGTGGGCATGCAAAACGGCAAACTCAAGGGGGTTCTACCAAGCCAAATTGGGCACCTTACAGACCTCGAGATTCTTTCAATTCATACAAATGGCATTTCTGGCAGCCTGCCCACTGAGCTTGGCTTGTGCCGGCAGCTTATTGACATTCGTATACACCAAAATCTTCTGGTTGGGCCTCTTCCCTCGGAGATGGGGATGATGTCTCGTCTTCGATATTTTTGGGGCCTGGACAACATGTTCACCGGTCCACTGCCTTCTGAAATTGGCCAAATGCAAGAACTGATGGGGATGGAGATCTTTGCCAATAACTTCAATGGCACAATACCCACTGAATTAGGAAAGGTACAGTACATGCACAAGTTATGAATGGTTTGTGTTCTGCGTCAACCTTGCATTTACTAACCATATTGTTTCCAGCTGGTAAACTTGGGCGAGTTCACAGCAGATGAGAATCAGTTATCAGGTCCCATCCCCAGTGAGTTTGGAGAGATGTCGCACTTGGCATTGTTCTTCATTCAAGGGAATCGTCTCTCGGGCGCTATTCCCTCCGAAGTTGGTAGGATGGAATCGGTCTACAGGTTTTACTGCTATGCCAATGAGCTCTCGGGTAGCCTGCCCACGGAACTTGGTACGCAAGAGTATTGTGATGGTTTGCATGTGCGTCTTGACCGTTCTTCCTCTGTTTACCAGCAAATCTTTGGTTCGCTCTTCTCCCACAGGACTCATGTCAAGAATGGAGATTGCTCTTCTCCATGACAACCAACTTACTGGTTTGATCCCTTCAGAGCTTGGCGGATGGACGAGACTGTGGGCAACGTATCTCAATTTCAACATACATACAGGCGTCATTCCACATGAATGGGGAGATGCGTTGACACTCAAGTACGACAACAGCACAGACCGCAATGTATTCAGTGGACCTCTTCCAACCGAGCTGGGACTACTGTCCAGCCTCCACTATTTCTGGCTGCCAAATGGTAATCTGGAAGGTACTATTCCATCGCAATTTGGTATGATGTCGGCACTGTCCGCAATGAGTTTGGCAAACAACAGTCAGTTGGGTGGAAACATCCCAGTGGAGCTGTTGGCTTTGCAAAATGTATCCCTGGTTCACTTGAATGTTTCTGGCACCAACGTCATCGGTGCATAATGGTACACACCCCAAAAGTTTTAGTCTCAGCACATACATGCCTACAGCTAGTGGTTTTACATGCGCTCTCATCGTTTCACGGATAGGCTAGCTACCGTGCGGTACGGTAGCTGTTACTGTGTATTGGGGGTTGTCAATGATCGTCTCGAGGGATACGAATACCGTCCTCTCCTTCAGGTTGGACATGGACGGCAATTCGGCTCCTTCAGGCTATTGCGGGGATGGAACAGACAACCCCAAGATCTGCTCTACCGTATCGTACGGCCGGTACCGTAAAAGTATGTTGACTACGGTATCTGGTGCGCTGTACCTTGTGGAAGCACGACAAACCTCAAGTTTCATGACGCCACTCTGCCGGCTGCTTCTCCAAAACCCCTTCTGAACTCTGAACTTCTCAAGCAAGCACCACTCCTCGATCAAGCAAGCAAGAAGCACAACATAAAACAAAACCAAGACCGCTCGAGGGGCTACCGTAGGGTCATGTCCAGCTCTGCTCTTGCTGATGAGCCCTCTATAGCTATTTCACTTGCACATGATGCCTCTCAACTGTACACGCTTTGTCAGAAAGGAAATGGCTCCGACGTCAAGAGGTGGGAGCCAGTGCTGGATTGCATTTCCTCCTACAATATCCAAGCCAAGGATGGCAAGGTAGAGCCTCCGAATAGAAAAGCAAGATGCACAGTTGACCAAGCTCTCCAGTACCGCGACCCGGCATCCAACAACCAGACTCCACTTCATTTGGTTTGTGAACGAGGTGCTCCTGTGGAGGTGGTATCTGGTTTGCTGGGTTTGGTGTCCACAAAGAGCGACATGGAAACCATCTTGTCCGCACAAGACAGTAAAGGACACACTCCGCTCCACCTAGCGTTGTCCAATATCTGCCCATCTCCCGAAATGATCCAGCTCTTACTCCAGAATTACCCAGAAGCAGCTTTCGTCAAGGACACGCATGGACATCTTCCAGTGTCTTGCTTGGGCAGCAACACTACCGGTAGCCATGGTCTGGAACAGTTGTCCAAGTCTGGATCCAACCCACAAAAAGCTGCTAACAAGTGTTTTGATGTCTATATGGAACAAATGTCCAAGTTTGAGCACAACAACACAAACGACATGGACCTGTTTCAAGCCGTTGATAAGTACCCGGATTGGCTAAGAAATCATGCTCTCTTGAACCAACATGTTCAAGATTCACTCAACAGGGCTGTGGCACAGCGATTCTCCACCTCGATTATTTTCTTCGACACCTTTTTCCTCCTTTCCATCATTGTGACGTTGCAACTTGTTGCCACTAGAATCATTGAACAAGAAGAGAATTTGGAAACCATGGCCACGACCTATAACTGGGCATCCGTAATCCTTCTCTTTGCAACAACGTACTTCGCAATAAGAAAACTTGTACACATGTTCATTCTGATGCTGTTACAGGGAAAACTACCAGAGCCCGGCGAGTACCTAAACACGTTGGATCACATTGCGTGGACCGTCCTTATGGTGGTCCTGTCTGTCCTGTTAATGTCGATGGACCCCACGAGCAATGGTGGCGGTCTTCTTACCTTTCTCATGACCCTGGCATCTGCCACTGCGTGGATCCGACTACTGCGACTCATGTCCCACATCTCCATCGAACAGGGCTTGTTGTTGGGTGGTGTCTTATCAATGTTGCCCAAGATCTTTGCCTTTATGATGGTGCTCGCTGTCTTCTTGTTGGCATTTGCGCAAATGCTACTCATTTCAACAACACACAGCAGCGACGACTCCATGGTGTCCGTATGTTTCCCAAACGAACAACAACAAGATAGAGAAGTTTCCGCCTTTTGCACCTATTCCCAAGCTCTGTTACGAGTGTACACCATGTCCGTGGGAGAAGTAGACGAGAACGACTTTGAACACAGCGTTTTGGCCAAAATTCTCTATGCTCTCTTCCTCATGGCAGTGGCCATTATGCTTGCTAACGTGTTGGCCTATCTCATTGGAAACGAAATTATTCAACATGAGCATCACGAGCTGCGCTTCTGGTGGAACCGAATGGACTTTGTCTTGAGTCTGGACGAAATCATCTTGTGCAAACACATTCTGAATCACCAAGAGAGCGACAACATGCTGCGACAACAATGCCGACGTTTGTGGTCGTTGTTTGCAAACAAACAACTGAGCGCGTTATCGGGACAATTCTGGGGATATGCCATCCTGAGACTTCTTGCCGTCTTTGTAATTGGTCCCTTGTGGTTTTTGATTGGGTTTGCCACAGCGGGTTGGCTGTGGCCTCCGCAATTCCGAGAATACCTCTTCTACGCAAGGACCGGGAAAAGTGAAAACACAACGGCCACTGTCACCACTTCTATCGTCAACAATGCGACACAGCAGCAGCCGAGCCAAGAAATCCTGTCTTTGCGAAATGAGGTGGTTTCGTTAAAGGGAGAGGTGAAAACCCTCGAAGCAAAGCTGGACCGTCTCATCGAGATCTGCAGCAAGGGAGCCAACAAATGACGCAGGGACACGTGGTGCTCGAACATTCAGCCTTTCATTGGGACAGTACAGCATATCATAGCAGAGCAGCAAGGATCGCTCGAGGCGCAAAGCTTCCCACCCACCAACATTTTGGCTTCGGGCCCATCAAGGGGAAAATGGGATGGCGATACGCGCCAATACCAGTATGCCATCAAGCACAAGGGCTTGGAGCAAATTTCCGATGCATCCCAGAAACGAACCTTTCGTCTTCGGGCCTATCAAGGGGGATTCGCGCCAATATGCAATCAAGCACAAGGGCTTGGTTGCCTTTCCTGGCTATCGGAGGAAAACAACCGTTAGAACCATAGATAAAGCAACCACAAGGAAGAGTGCGAGATCACAGCAACGAACATAGTTAGAGAAACTTAATTAAGGGGTTAGAGCATCTTCTACCGTACCATCAGATTTGGTTTAGATTGGGTCATTTGAACACAATCTAAACCAAATTTGATCATATCTTGTTTCTATCATTGCTGTTTAGATTCGGTTTGGATCAAATTCAAACGAAAACGATATTTTTGTTTAGATCAAGCCAATCAAAACGAACAATTGCTCTCGTTTTGATTTTGTCATGACCCCATTAACCAGTGAAGATTTAAGAAAAATCGTCCTGAGAACATGTACCGAATGAGTCCAGTGAGTCAATCAAAACAAAAAATAGACAAAATGACTTGGGAAACTGATAGAGACTGCTTTTTCAGTGCCCTGTAAATATCAAAACGGAAAATGTTCATAGATATCTAAACGAGCGGTAGAAAATGCTCTTACTGTACATTAACCGGTTGTCCTAGATATCGTATTCAGGCGTTCCAAGCTGCTGGAGGCAGTGATGCTTCAGTGTCGTGGGAAGCTAGTGTTGTCTTGTCGCGAGGGAAGTCTTTGAATCTGGACGATTGAATCATTCCCTTTGGAGGGGCGTGGGGAATCTGGGAAGTGCCATCCATCATAAGGCCTGTCGATCGATTCGATTCGAGCTCGGATGGATCTAAACTACACATGTATAGATCTTGATCAGTCGCTGTTTTCTTGGTTGGCATCATCATCGTAGGAGCTCGCGTCCCATCGAAAGCTGCGAGTGGAAGGACGACTGACGCGTCTCATGGACCCTGTCATGCTCCTCATGGACCCATCCACGGTTTGCACCATGTTTCTCATGGATCCGTCCACGGATTGCATCACATTCCTCGTGGATTCATCTAGGGCACGCGTTACATGTCGCATAGATCCGTCCATCGTGTCCTTGGCCACCCTAACGGTGCCGTCAATGCCTTCTTTCATACTCCGCATGGAGACATCCACCGTCTCCGCCACTGTCTTGAGGGACTCGTCCACCGTTTCTACAATATTGTGGACGGCTTCATCGACCTTGATGGGCCGCATCTTTCTCTCTGGTTTGTTGTACTTGGTGTACATTCTCTGACAGAACGCCAGTCCCAAGGCAGCCACTGACATGACAAAATGATTCAAAAAGATGCCCCCCATTGCCTTCATGTCGAGGGAGAAGCTACCATCGGAATTGGCATCCTCTCCGCCTCCTCCGGAGGATCCACCCGTGTTGGTTTCTGGTCCACATGTCACCTCGGAGATTTTGGCCACGTGCCGTTGCCATGCCTCTTGGATAAAGCCCTCTTGTTGCATTTCTTGCAAGTGCACGTCCAATACGTAGCTGATCAAGGAGGTGCACTGAATGGCCGAGTCCACCGCCGTGGCAAAGCCGGCGGGAAGATTCAATATGAGACGCTTGTCACTTCCCAGTGTGCAATCACTATTGGTGGCTTCTTGTCCTTGGTAAATGTCATAGGTTCCCAGATTGGTCAAGAGCGCCCCACATCCTCCCTTGCCATTGTACCAGCCCAAGCCGAGGCCTTCAAACATGCCCTGCTCGGTATCCTTTCGTACCAACTTGAGGTCGGGATACTTGTCCGAGAGCAAATCGTCCATGACGGATCCCCGCTGCACGCACAGTGGTGTGGACGAAAGCAGCGCTTCTTCAATGGTACTGATTCGGGGTTCGACGACATTTTGTGCCACGAGAAAGGATGCCATGTTGGCCGTATAGGCCGAAACGACAATAATGGCCCAGAATCCCCAACTCATGGCGAC